CATATTCAGAGATATTTCTAGGCCATGCAGTGGGTTGCATGGCAGATTTAACTTTCATTCAGAAAAAAAAAATTATATGCATCATGAGGCTATCTAGAGTTGAGGTGGTGAGGACAGCCCCCTCCCAGCAGTCCCAAAGCTTGCAGTGAAATACCTCCGCTTTGGTAAAAGGCCGAGAGAGGTGGAACTAGTATCCAGTGCCACACAACAACACTGCTTCCATTTAAAATACATTTTGTCAGAAAAGATTTCAGATACACAATAGGACAGACTCAGACATAAAAGATTTCTAAACAAAACATAGTGTGTTTAAAACTGTATGTAGGCTTAGGGGAGAGAAGTAAGGGAGTATAGCGGGGGGGAGGGTATAGAGAGTAACAAAAAGAAGAAAATTATTTAAAAAAAAGCAAAATCTTAAAGGAGTAAAGATAATAAATGTTAACCATGTAAAAAAAAAAGTAATAGTGTAAAAATATAAGCCACATAAGAAAATATACACAGAGAGCTCAAATTATGTATAATACTGTGTTTTATTTGATTTTTTGACTATGAATGAGCTAAGTACAGAGAAATATTTCATTATACATACTGGTAAGCTAAACCAACATATATATTTTATAGATATCTTGATTTCAAAATTTGGGTCTGAGGATATGTTGCTTTGGTAAAGAAGTTCTGCTTTTGTTTCCACAGAGAATGAAAACATATGGATTCCTTCCAGAAAAATGTGGTTTGATCAAACAAGACCCCCTGAAACAATTGCCCAAATGGTCCAACAACCATGACAGCTTCAGGACTGCTGGCTGAGATGGACTTACCATATAGGATACTCATGACAGACCTGATTAACAGCACTCCCAATCATCAGAAAGTAGTCTTGACAACAACATCCAAATTCCCTAAATGATTGTTTATAAATATTTATTTACAAGGGGTATGTACTATAGATATAAATAATTTGCATTGGTATGGATCTAGGTCTTTGAGAGAAATTTTAGGTCAATAATGTGTATTTCTGCTCTTGGTTAAGATATTGTATTTGTATACCTCATTTAAAAATTTTATGCAGAAAGAACAAATACAGGATAATAGATAGCCATCTATGATATTCAAGTTTGTAGTCATGTTAGTTAGGTTTTCTAGATATATAGAAATATATTTCAGTTAGATAGATAATCTTCCAAACTTTCAAAGACATATGGAATATGGCATTTAAAATGTTTTAAGAACTTAAGACTTTTCATGACAATGAGACACATCTGCTCCTGGAAGAACCAGTTTAGTTTAAAAGGATTATGCGCAGTGAAGAGACTCTTTATGAAGTGTGTTAGCATTTGAAACTGCTCTTGCCTGGACTGCTTGATGCTTAGTTCTATGAACTAGACAAGTAGGATCCACAGAAAAATGACTGCTAAATTTGCCTAAAGAAGGTGAAACTGTCCTTCAGGGTTCCTGCTTCATGAAGAGTCTGCCAGATATTCTGCAGGACACAGAAGAAAGCAACTTATGAACTTGCCATTACAAGGCAAAACAGATGTTCAAATTTCCTGCTTCATGGAAAAATCTGACAGATACTGTTCTGTAGGATGAATATGGATGCCTAGAAGAATGTTATATAAGAACTTTTGATGACTATACAGGCAGAGCACTGTCTCTATCAATTCTAGAGGTTTGGAAGTTGCTTACAATGCACTTCCTGTTTACTGAGTAATATTATATCCTTCTGGAGTCTTTGATAGATTTTATGAATAATTCTAATTATAGCTTTCTTTAGTTATGATAAAAGTTAAAGTAGTTATAAATATTATAACTGCAATTCTTGCTTGATATGTTTTGTTATATGTAATTTTAACTATGTTAAAGTTAAAAAATCTTTCTTTTTATTTGAACAGAAAGAGGGAAATGGCATAAGACCTTCTGTATATGTGGGGTTTTTTTATTGGTTAATGAACTAAGAAGCTACTTTCCCCTGTAATAGGGCAGAATAGAGCTAGGCCTTTTATCTAAACTGAATGCTGAGAGAAAGTAGGTGGAGTCAGTGAGAAACCATGTAGCCACTGCAGGAGATAATGCCAGATGAAACCTTACCAGTAGGCCACAACCCCGTGGTGATGCACAGATTAATAGAGATGGGTTAATTTAAGATGTGAGAGCTAGCTAAAAATTCTCTTAAACTGTTGATCAAACAGTATTGCAGATAATATCATTTCTGAGAGATTATTTCACAATTATATACATTTTCTAAAACTCTTACTAATCAAATGTGTACTATTTACAAGTTATGGAATCTATTCAACAAATATTCTATACAACCTAAGCTAAATAGAAAAGCAAACAGAATAACTTACTTTCCATTCAAAGTTTGATTCTGAAGACGTTTAGGACCTTGAGCTGCTATTGCAAAACCCACAATGTATCCCAGTGTAAGTGCACCATCAGCGATAGCTTGAAAATAAACATAGCACCAAACAGCTTCATAACTTGCTCATACAAAATACCACTGAACTATCTGTGATATATAAAAGTTTTTCAGGCTAATTTCTATTACTTAAGAGAGGAAGGTGAGTAGGAAAAGAGGGGGAGAAAAGGGCAGAATTTAAAAGGGTGAAAGAGAGATTGAAAATTTTTCTGGAATTTATTCTAACAAATCTCAAATTAGTAGTGCTGGAAACTGGTAGAAAATTCATGTACGTGTTGATGATAACCTTATAATTGATCCTTGCCTTGAGTCACAGTAACTGCTTCTTTGGTAACAGTCATTTTGCACTGTTGGGACTTTACATTGCTTGCGTGTGACCTGTTCTTATAATAAAGGTCATCTGCTTTATACATTTTCTGATTGTGAAATTTATCATACCTAGGACAATGTCAGAAGGCATATAGACTACTGCCTGAAACTACAACTGGGTGGCACATTCTCTTCTCTAATCAAATACTATATACTCAGAAAATTTAGTTATGAATTAAGTGTATATTATTTACTCTTTATACTTAATGTAGTAAATATACTTATATTCAATATGAACATAAGTAAACAAACTGTATTTTCTTTAATATTTTTACTAGAGACATTTTCAAAGTAAGTATAAAATATTGCCACATAAAATATGCATATATTGTCTATTCCTCTGTCTTTTCAAAGACATTTAGATGATTTCTCTAATATTCCAAATCTCAGAATTAAAGACATCTGTGTGATTATTTTGAAGTTATCCACTCAAGTCATCACTACTTGGTACAGTGTCATCAGAGCCAATAGTATTTCTGTATCTGTTAAAGCCTGCTGGAACATGATGAATATTCAAAATGAGTCATGCATATTAGAAGGAAACAAACTTGCCTAGATAGAGACCAGCTGAGAATGTGGGAACATGATCGAAAATGAAGGTCAATCCAAGGATATTTATAGGCATTGCCACTATTCCATGGAGACACTGGGCGATGATGAAGAGATAAATACATATCGATCGGTGTGGTATCATTCCACCACAATCTGTTTTAACTAATTTTTCTGTACACAGCTCTTTTGGAAGACAAGAAATATATTTTATTGAATAGAATTCAAAATTAAATGTACAATTAAACTTGCAATTGCTACCACCATATATTTTCTTTTGTTTGATTTTTATGCTTTGAGTGTAATCATAAATCAATTATTATATTCTAAGTAGAAATAGCACAATAAAAGGAAATGTGTGGAAATACTGAGAAAGACGGATGCAGTATGAATGAAACAATGTGACTGTTATGTGTACAGGATACCATGAACACATATATTCTTATATACAAACACATTTATTCATATATATGCACTCATTTTTTTCTGTTCTTTGCATCCTGTTCTTCTGCCTTGACTCCAGAATAAAAGTACTTGCAATGTCCTAGATGATCTTTCTTGTCAAAGTCCACCATCTGAGTTTAGTTCTGTGGTCTTTTCTTTAGCAATCTTTAAATTAAAACATGTGCACTACTTTGATTAAGTAATTTCCTATATTCGACCCATGAGCTTTTTTTTATCCATACTCTTATGGTTTGTATATAAAGTGACACCATAATATCTCATGTACCAAATGTTTAGGAGAGGGTCCTAGAGCCGCGAAAGGGAAACACCACTAGTCTCTAATGGGAATGTCTTATCCTAGCCCCTTCCCAGATTCGTTCTGCTTGTGTCCTAACATGAGGTAAACAGACTTCTCTTGCACACTCCCAGTTTTCTGCCTGACCATGGGCTCAGAGTCGGTGAAGCATAGCAACCATGGAGAAACACTCTGAAAAGCTAAAATAGATCTTTCCTACTTGCAAGTTGTTTAAATTTGTTCATAGCAGGATAATACCTAGGTACACATGGGATCATAAAAAAAAGCTATGATATCATAAAGATTTCTTTAGTTGCTATGTGGTAATCTACTCAATAGATTTTGAAATCTTTGGATGACATGTTAGTCTTCGTTTTCTTACTCAAATGATTATAAAATTTTAGTATTTATACTTGCTAGTAGACTTATGGAGCTAAGTAACTGATAGGAAACTGTATCCACTATGACCAACTTGGGTGAAGTTTAACACATTCTTGACATGTTATTGTAGAAAACCTATTAAAGTGAAATTCATAACCTATGACATTAGAGAAAAGATATTTTACTTAGTTTCTATAGAGTAGTACATAACACTATAGAAAATAAAAAGATGTCCCTAAAATTGTGGTTTAACTCAACATTTTCCTCCTTTTCTTTTGAAATATAATAACATATACTGTGTTCATTTAGATTCTTTATGAAATTTTCACACATAAATATAATGTTTCTGATCAATTTCATCCCTTTCCTTTACCTGATTCACACTCCCACTGGGTGGTTTCCCCTTTCCAACTACATAACTCTTCTACATTTTTAAATGACTCAATGGGCTGTGTGAGAATTGGTCACAGAATGATGGGTGATTTATTTTTGCAGTGACCCCGGCACCTTTGCAAGGACTCTACTGCTGGACTGACTCTCTCTCTCTCTCTCTCTCTCTCTCTCTCTCTCTCTCTCTCTCTCTCTCTCTCTCTCTCTCTCTCTCTCTCTCTCTCTCTTTCTCTTTCTCTCTCTCTCTCATTCTCTGCAACAAATGGCTACATATAAATCTCCAGGAATGCATGGGCACTTGAGCTCCTTTATCCCCCATGATAGGGTGTTTGCAGACACCATCTTGGATAATTTGTACTCAGATACTCACAGCTTCCATGAGTTCAAGCTATTTGAATACACTAACTGTTTCATGCTTAAGACCAGCATTTAATACTACTTCCAACAATTTTCACCTCATCCAGTTCTTTCATTCTCCTGCATCTTATCCAATGTTCAGTGGGCCTTGGATGAATTATTAATGCCTGAGACTACAACAGTCAAACACTTTTTATTTTGTATCCTTCTAATCTTTCCATATTTTTAAAATGTGATTCAAACATACATAAAATCCTATTAGAATGTTCCTATTAACTATCTAAGTTGTCCCTTATATATTTCTTCTGTAATTATCACTGACACTTTTGTGTATCATTGTTCTCTTTCACAATATACAAACTCTCAGTGAAATCACAGTCAGAGTCAAAATATCTCTTTTCCATAATCTCTAGCTTTAATTTTAGAGCTAAAGTGGTGTGGTATTTCACTCTGTATGCTGTGATTACCATTAATGAATATAGGAACAGCTTTGAACCTACAGCATGGCAGAACTTAGCTAGGTGGGGGAAACTAAACTGAAAAAGTATAGCTGGGAAAAAGAAAGGCAGAGTCAGAGAGAAGCCATGGGGCCTCCTGCAGAGGCAGATGTGGGAGTCCCCTATGTGTGATTGCCATTAATGAATAAAGAAACTGTCTTGGCCTGTTTATAGGGCAGAACTTAGGTAGGCAGTGAAGACTTAACTGAATGCTGAGAGAAGGAACAAGTCAGAGAGATGCCATGGAGCAGCTGGAGACAGATGCTGGGAATTTTACCTGGTAGGCCACAACCTGTGGTAATATACAGATTAATATAAATAGGTTAAATTAAGATGTAATTTAATTTAACCAATAAGAAGCTAAAGCTAATGGGCCAAGCAGTGATTTAATTAATATAGTTTCTATGTGGTTATTTAGGGCTAAGCTAGCTGGGCAGCTGGGATGAACAAGTGGGCCCTCCTGCTACAGACAGACATGCCAAAACTCTGCCAATAAGCCACTGCCATGTGGCGATACACAGATTAATGTAGATGGGTTAAATTAAAATGTAAGAGTTAGCCAATAAGAAACTAAAGCTAATGGGCCAAGCAATGTTTTAAATAATACAGTTTCTCTGTGATTATTTCAGGGCTCTGAGCAGCTGGGAACCAAGAAGTGGCCCCCTCCCTCCAACAAATTGGCACTAATATGGTGGACTAAATCCATGTAAAACCTAAGAGGTTTTGAAAAAAATCTAGACACTAACAAACAAAGTTTAGCTGCATTTTGTTTTCCAAATGGGCTTTGCTTGAGACAGCATGCTGTGGCTCCTTTAAGAGAGGTCTTACTAATTCAGCAGTAGCATCAAAGTGGTTTCAAAAAGGAAACCATGAACCATGCTGCTAGTATGAACTGTTACTCTTTCACAAAATCAAGCATTGGGATGGGATTTGTGAGTAGCATGCTGCAGCTTGCTTGGTGGCAACATAGACTAGCTGTGTGCCTGGATGTGGGACAGTATGCACAGCTCAGAAGCAAAGAAGCTCTGCCATGTGGGACTGGGTGGAGCAAGCTAGAAGTACCATATATATACCTAGTAATGGTGCAGCTTAAATTTATGAAGTGCTTAGCATTTTAAAAAGCACTCCTGGAAAGTAAAGAATTATAGATATACAATCAAGAAAAATCCAGATTAAAAAGAATTATAAATGAGTCACAATGCAAAATAAATGTACATAGGCTTGTGAGACAGAAGAAAAAGAGTATGGAGAGTCATAAAAGGAACTTAGTGGTTTAAAAAATGTCTTGAAAGAGACAGAGTACAGACAGTCATAGATTAAAAGGAGTAAAGAAAAATAAGCCACAAAACATGGACTATACACACACAGAGAGTCTGGGTTATATATAATATTGTGTTTTATTTGAATTTTGTGACAGCAGAGAGACATTCGATTCTGGGGATTGCTAAACTAAACCAACATATATACTTTAAAGGCATTTTGTCTTCAAAATTTTAGTATAAGAATATGTTGCTTTGGAAAAGAGATTCTTTTGTTTCCACAGAGAATGAGAACCTGTGAATTAATTTCAGGCTAATATGGTTTGGTAGATCATGAACCCCCAAGAAGTTACCATGAACACCCCCAATAATTACTTCACCCAATATACAGCAGGAAGAAGTTTGGATAAAACTATGCCCATATTCCCAAATATTGTTTGCAAATATTTCTTTACATTTAAAGGGAGATATGGTATATAGATTTGCATTGGTATAGATCTTGGTTTTTTGATACAAATTTAATGTCAATATTGATATATGCCTATTTCTGCTCTTGATTAAGGTATTGTGTTTATGCAGCTCATTTAATAATGTATTGTAATAAATAGTCACCTATAATAGTCAAGTTTGTAGTCATGTTAGTTGGGATTTCTAGATGTACAGAGATGTATTTCAGATGGATAGGCATTCTTCAAACCTTTCAAAGACTACACACTATGGCATTTAAAATGTTTTAAGAACTTAAGACTTTTCATGACACATTTGTTCCTGGCAGCACCAATTGAATTCAAGAGGAAGATGGGCATCAAACTGGTTCCTCATGGAGTTGTTTTACCATTTGGGAAAGAAATGGCTCTTGCCCGGACTGCTGCATAAACTGGACATGCAGGACCAACAGAGCAGTGATTGATGAACTTGCCTAAAGGTGAGACAATCCTTCATGGTTCTTTCTTCATAAAAGAGCCTGTCAGACATTCTTCAGGACACAGAAAAAAAGTGACCAATAAACTGCCAATTTAGGCAGAAATGTCTTTGAAATTGCCTGCTTCATGGAAAAGTCCACTGAATACTATGAGCCTGTAGGCTAAATATGGATGCCCCAATGGTACAGAAGAACTTTGGGTGACTGTCCAGGCAGTGAGATATCTCTGTCATTTCTAGAGCTTTGGAAGTTGCTTACAATGTACTTCCTGTTTACTTAGGTAATATTATATCCTTCTGGAGACCTTGATGGAGTTGAAGAATAGTTATTATTATAGATTTCCTTAATTATGATAAAAGATAAATTATATACAAATATTGTAACTGTAAGTCTTGTTTGATAACTGTTTTATTATTTAAAATTTTACTATGTTAAAGTTTAAGCTTTCCTTTTTTATTTAAACACAAAAGGAGAGGTAATATGGGATTTTTCTCTGTATGCTGTGATTATCATTAATAAATTAAAAAAACTGCTTTAGACCTATTGCAGGGCAGAACTTAGCTATGTGGGGAAAACTAAACTGAATGCTGGGAAAGAAGGGCAGAGTTAACAGAGAAGCCATGAAGCCTCCTCCAGAGACAGACATGCCAAAACCTTGGCAGTAAGCCCCTGCAACGTGGTGATACACAGATAAATGGAGATGGGTGAAATTAATAAAAGTTAACCAATGAAAAGCTAGAGCTAATTGGCCAAACAATGTTTTATTTAATGTGGTTTCTGTGTGATTATATCGGGGCTCTGAGCAGCCAGGAACTGTAGTGATGAGGCGAGCAGGCCTGCTTTTCGTCCTGCCCGGTTCCTTCACAGCTAGGTTTACACCCGAAATAACAACACAGAAATTGTATTCATTTAAAAACTGCTTGGCCCATTAGCTCTAGCCTCTTACTGACTAACTCTCACATCTTGATTAACCCATTTCTATTAATGTGTGTAGCACCATGTGGTGGTGGCTTACTGGGAAGATTCTAACCTGCGTCCATCTTGGAGAGGAGAGCTACAGCGTCTGACTCACTTCCCTTCTTCCCAGCATTTTGTTCTGTCTTCCCCACCTACCTATGTTCTGACCTATCAGGCCAAGAAGTTTTCTTTATTAATTAACCAATGAAAGCAACAGATAGATAGAAGACCCTCCTACATCATGGAACCAACAAGTGGGCCCCCTACTTTGAACACTAAAGAAAAACATGTAGCATTCAAACTCCATTTTGACTTCATGGAAAACTGAGTCAAGAAAATCTTTCATGATCTTTGCAGTCATAAAACATCTCCTGAATCCATTTTCCTCTGCTTTGTTCTAGAAAGTTGAGCTTACCAGTCTACCTACACCTAAGAATCATATTTCTGTTTCTGATTGACCAATAATTGAATATAACTTTTGACTCTTAACAATAAAAAATAATTCTGTATTAAGGAAAATTAAAGATTGTAAATAACATAAGTAGCACAAAAGTAGCACACATAGAAATTCTCAGAAGAGAAACTATCAAGATATGGAGTTTGTTTAATATTACAAATACTGACTAAAGTTATGATTTCACAGTGTGGAAAGTTTAATTTTAGTAAATATCACAAGTTACATTAATGAGCAGACAGAAATAACTCTGTTACAACATTTTGGGTAAAGTTGTGTTAAACTCCCCAAAAGAAATGGGTAAAAAAGTCAAGAAATCAGTACAGATTTTTTATAGACTCATGTATGAAAACAAGGAGATATCAACAGATCATAAAAAGAGGACTGATCAGTAGCATGTCTGCTCTTTATTCTTTAAGAGTGAGTGAAACGTAGAGCTAGGGAGGTGGCTCAGCAATTCAGGGCTCTTGAATGT